CCATGATGTTTATATTCAAAATGATCATCATATTGTAAGAATTCCAGCAATGTAAATTATATTCTGGCCGGGTAATTTATATGAATTTTATGAGCTAAAACATATATCTTCAGTAAATATACAAAGAAATATTCTTCAAGGACACTATCTGTCAATCAAATACTCCGCCCTAGCTGGGTCCCTCCCTCCCTCCCTCCGAAAAGGGATTGGGATCAAATTGTATATTTAAATTTTTAGTAATAAATAATAACTCAGACTAAAGTTAGGATAATATAATTGACATTTCTGGATTCCTTGCAGATCAGGGAATATTTTGAATGTAAACTTCATATATTCTGCACAAAGGATAAAATATTTGCTTTGTGTAAACCAAATTATTACATAAGATCTAAAATTTGTATGTCTAATGCAAAATCCATGATGTTTATATTCAAAATGATCATCATATTGTAAGAATTCCAGCAATGTAAATTATATTCTGGCTGGGTAATTTGTATGAATTTTATGAGGTAAATAAAAAAAAAAAATTATACTTCACCGTGTATATGAGTAGATGCACCGCGGAAAGTGAAAGTCTGGTTCTGGCAAGGTACCGCGTAAATGAGAAATCAGAAATCGCGGAAAGTGAAACCGTGTAAAGCGGGGTAATACTGTATATGAAAGCAACACTTATTACTGTTCTCATATATGTTTTAATAAATGCTTATGCATGTAAAACAAATATTCTACTCACCAATGGTGGTAAAGTCGAAAACATAAGGACAACCAATGTTGTTGGCTGAGTTTTTACTCAGATGACGACGAAGTTCCTAAATCATCAGGTTCTCCATCTGAAGCTGTAGGTTCAACTCTAGCTGAAGCTTTCCCTAAAGATACCATAGCTGTTGCTGAAGCTGTTGCTGAACTTGAAGCTATTGCTGAAGCTGCTGTTCAACCTGCAGTTGTTGCTGAAGCTGTTGCTGAACCTGAAGCTATTGCTGAAGCTGTTGTTCAACCTGTAGTTGTTGCTGAAGCTGTTGCTGATGCTGAATTTGGTGGTGTAGCCGTATCTGAAGTTGATGGTGTAGCTGTACCTGAAGTTGATGGTGTAGCTGTACCTGAAGTTGATGGTGTAGCTGAACCTGAAGTTGATGGTGTAGCTGTACCTGAAGTTGATGGTGTAGCTGTACCTGAAGTTGATGGTCACTAAGGCTGTGTAGCTGTACCTGAAGTTGATGGTCACTAAGGCTGTGTAGCTGTACCTGAAGTTGATGGTCACTAAGGCTGTGTAGCTGTACCTGAAGTTGATGGTCACTAAGGCTGTCAGCCTCGCTAAAGTTCGCCTGGAAAGGCTGAACCCGCTACTGAAGACATGAATAAAATATAGTTATGAAGAGAAAAACTTAACTCTGGCCTGCATGCTGAGAGTAATCAGAAAACCCAGGGCGGAAGCCCGAAAAGTTTTGTGAACGAACATGAGATGAGGGAGAGAGATAGCCACATATATCATGGTACAGAGTATTCATACTAGCACGTGTATAATTGGGACAAAGAAAATTTATGCAGTATATATATATATATAAATATATATATATATATATATATATATATATATATATATATATATATATATATATATATATATATATATATATATATATATATATATATATATATATATCTATATGTATGTATGTATGTATGTATGTATGTATGTATATATATATATATATATATATATATATATATATATGATTGGTCCTCATATTACGCGGTTAATGTAACCCCGGGTACCACGGAAAGTGAAAGCGTAGTGAATAACATAACATATGGGATTAATTGAAATGGAGTCGGGCGATCCCAAACTCCACTTTTGGCCGACACACAACTATGTTGTAGTAAAAATATTATCTTAACTTTATGATGGCATGCACACACAATTAATAATTAAGAAATATCAATAATATTAGGTTTTTTAACACTTACATTTGTAGAAAGATGGCTGGGCACAAGGGATGGGCGGTTGGTTCGAGGCAGAGGGCAGATTATTGGCCCTCACCTGTATCACGTATCAATTATCACTATCCACCACAGAGGCTTGCAGGGCCTCTTTGTCAAACCCCAAAGTACATATAAGTCCATATCCTCACTATAATTATCACTATCACTGACTGGGCGGCTGGTGGGTGGCGGGTGAAGAACTGGTCATGTTTTGATGTGGGCGACCTTGTGCGCACCATTTTGGCGCCTCTTACACAACATGGCGGATGGCGGAGGTTTGGATCAAAATGGCGCGGCTTGCCCAGCCGCTCTCCGCTAATATGGGTTCCACGACGCGGAATGTGAAAATGTTAGGTTTTGGCAAGGCACGCGTTAACGATGAAAGCAGCGGAATGCGGGGACGTAATATGAGGACCAACTTATATATATATATATATATATATATATATATATATATATATATATATATATATATATATATATATATATATATATATATATATATATATATATATATATATATATATATATATATATATATATATATATATATATATATACATACAGTTAACCTCACTTTTCGGCGGTCCCATATTCCGCAGACTAAGCGTTCGTGGTGCCCTACAGGATCTTCACATTCCGCGTGCCTGCAGCTGAGACAAACATAGTACAAGGCCAATCAAAGTTTTGAGCCAACCCACCCGTAGCAGCCAAATTGTGAGTTTGAAGGTAGTCAATTAATATAAACTGCTAGATAGGCCTCTATAAATACAGTGGGGTACTGACCTGCGTGGGTGAGAAGAGAAGCCTGACTTATACTATGGCGTGGCGTCTCGCCCTGAACTAGGCCTACAGTTTCCAGACTTTAAATTTCACTTTGACATTAATCTGGCTCTCACCTATACACTTTCTCATCTATTGTGACTTTATGCCTTATAATTACATATCTAATTCTAAATGACATACTAAAGTAAAAGTCTGGTTTGCTAGTTTCTGGGAAAATTAATTGGGTTATATCATTAACTTGGAACCGTAGCCCGGGGCGTCTTGGGCGCCAACATAGAAAAAAGGCCTAGGCTAGTGTTTTCTTGGCGTGGGTATATCCTCTTCACTTCAATCCGTATTTAGGGCTCCCCCCCTCACACGTTGCAATCGTTGAACACATTCATAAGATTCTCGGATCATTGCACTACTCGTGGTTATTCGTCACATGGAGTAACGAGGTGTATTAAGCTCACACCGAGGTATACAAGATATTTTCTTTGAAGCATAGTTTCTGGATCACTTCCAACACTTCACATATGCCTGATACATTTATCCTTTTTTCAGATCATTGTTCTCATATATTTTCATCTGATACCTGAGGTAGCTATGTTTACTAATCGTTCACAGATGTAAATATTATGACCTTCAGACACAGTCTACACATGGTCACACTTATCCCTTATAGTACACTAGTCCGTATCAATTGGACCATTCCAATCATCCTATAGATACCTTGAGTTCTCCTTAGCACTGTCAGTACATACTCTTAATATTATATGATCGTACATTGGTACAATTCATATAAACATACAGCAGGTGAGTTATTCCTTACCATAGTTTCACGTTTTCTACCGTTTTCTGTGACTCTACAAGCATGGTGGATTTGAATGTTTTGTAACGTAATATGAATTAAAGAGATATTAAGGATGACCATGTGCTCAGTACAGAAAGAACACCACCTCTACACCTGGATGGCTAAACTGTAAACTTTCTGGGTGGCCTGGTGCAGTATCTATCAATAATAGTACCTTGAATTCCTTCTTCTTGGAAGCAACATACTTTTCCTCTTCCAGTTAACCAGGCCTTTTTATTGGACTGCCAAAAAACCAGTAAAAGGTTGTTGTTTTTACCCTTTAAAGCCCTACGGTTTGCTGAGCGATAAAGCAATCCCGGTTTGATCATGTTGCCAGCTGCACTTCCATAGAAGATGAACATCACTCTGTCCTTGGCTGCCTTGAACCCAGGGGCACGCCTCTCCTGCTTGTTTATGTACGTTCTACCAGGCATCTTTTCCAATATAGACCTAATTCAGTGGCATTAACTGTTTGCTCTGGTCTATAACCTTTCTCTATATTATTTTCTTTTACTTTGGGGGAAATGCATCTGCGGGTGTGTGGTCAGCTTTACATTAAGGAGAGAGAATGTTTCTTAAGATTCTTGAACCACCCTTTGCTGGCACTAAAAGTTGGCTCAGTAGCCGCACCAGCCCCTTCACCACCTGTTGACTCGTAAAAATCAGCGTAAAGACTCGAAGCCTTCTCTCGATCTCGTTGCTGTTGATCGGAACATTTTTGTGGTGCTGGTCCTCAGTCCAAATGTTCAGTGCTTTATCCAGGCTTTAAGACATGCTGAAATTCACTGATATCTTTGCTTTGAGTCTCAGATTCATGTGACTTGCTATTAGCAAAAAAGTTTATTCATAGTTCTGTTATTATACTCAGTATATGTACTATCACTTTCTGCTTGATTGCGAGTATTGTGAGGGCAAAATGAAATTTATTAAAAAATAAATAAAAAGAGTACAGAGTATATCGGGCAAGGACTAAGACTCTTTGAAAACTGACGTTTGACCTAGTGTCAATCATAGCTCCAGCATCTGTGACTGTAGCATTCATGCCCATTAAACAATGTGGCAGAAATTTAAAATGACATAACAACTCATCAGAGGTTGAGCATGGAAGGTCACAGAATAGGAATTTAGACTGTTTAAATCTTTTGTAAAGTAGATCTTCATTTGACAGATACTTTAATGAAACAAATTTGAAAAACAAAGAATATGGAGTTAAATTATGTTTGGCCATCCAAAGACTGAAGTTTTATAAGAATTTTTTGTATTTTTTTTATAACTCCATTTCTAATATAGGCTCTTCATTCACATTCTCACCAAAAATATTCAGTCATCCCTCGCTAGTCTCTTTTGTAAAATAACTTTTCCTGGTTCTGATGTAATTGAATAGCTTATTATTTCATTTCAGATTTCTGCTGATACAAAAGAGTTTGAGATGAAAAATGAATATACAAATAAAATGATGGTGCTTAGTCTACAGACAACAAAACCCCTAGATTTTGAATATCGTATGTTCTACAAATTGCTGTTTAATATCACTGTAAGTATATAAATATTAAGCTTTATTAATATTTAGATATATCTTATGATCTTGTAATGACTTGCCAGCTACTGTACCATAAAAGTTTATTTGGCCTTGTAAAAATGTAAATAATTTTCACCTCTTCATTTTTACCTCTATCTCTGTGTTATAATTTTACATATACCTATGCTGTATATAGTATGCAAGCATGCCATGCCATGCCAGGCTCTACAGAAAACAATCTTCATTCGAGACATGAGACATTTCGTGTGAGGAACTTTGACTCAGACAGTTAAAGCATAATACAGTATCACCAAGGTTACTGTTCCTTGGCAAAGAGGTTACTCTTATCAGTGCTGTGTTATGTTGGAAATTGAGGAAAAATGTCAACTTTATTAGTTAGAGTGAAATGCCTAATGGTTAATTATCAGTTGCCTTAGGCCACCAGTCAAGGGAAGTAAGAGTGGAAAGTAGAGGAGCAATAAACCAGAGGTATCCATTAGTGGTGTCCGTGAGATATCCACCGGGTAATATAGTGAAGGAACACAAAGACCAACTCACTGTGGTACGTATATAAAAGAAACATGGAAAAACCAAAAAGATAATTAATGACCTGGTAACTTGCGCATCACAGGTCACTGCAGTGCCACCAAGTCATAAAGTCATGAATTTTTGTGTATTACAATACAGTAATGTTCACAGTGATAGTTGTATTGTGGGACACTGGCAGTAAGTGAATAGTGCATAACTCTTATTTTCTATGAACAAGCTTTGTGAACTCGAAATAAGAGTTAAAAAACAAGTGAAGAACTGGCACCATAAACTGTCTCAGCGCAGTATTGTATAAGCATACACAGGACTCGGGAGGCCAAAGTAGGCACCTCCCCCAGGACTCCACCACCTCTACCACTTTTAGAACCGATAAGTCACTACATTTCATGCTAAAAGTGTGTTTACCCGGAAGATGTACAAAAGTCACAACAGAGGAGATAGTTTCCATCTTCATGGAAAGGCAGCTAGACGTATAACTGTGTGTGTGTGTGTGTGTGTGTAGACACACACACATACAAAACACATACTGTACAAATAAATGGTAATGGGAAAATCATCTCAAATATAATTCAATCAGAAACAAGACAACAAAATGTATCGAAATGTAGAAAAAATGTCAGTCTACCCTCAAGTCATCTCCGTGCTTTTTTATTAAGCTCAACTCAACTTTAATAACAAAGCACAGAGTTTACTTGAGGGTAGACTCACATTTTTTCTACATTTCGATACATTTTGTTGTCTTGTTTCTGATTGAATTATTTGTGAGAGGATTTTGCTTTTATTGTTTATTTGTATGTTCTTTCTGTGTGTCTTTGTCTACACACATACACACACACATATATACAATACAGGTAAAAGAAATAATTGTCCAAAGGGCAAACACATAAAGAGGGTATATACATTTCTTTGCACACGAGTAAAAATGTACCCCCCACTGGTCAGCAAATGATATTTGCGGATTTGGCTATTCGCAGCCATTTTTGAGACCCAAATGCCCGCGAATATTAAGGGCATGCTGTATTTACCACAATCACTCAATCAATCTACCTCTGACGGCATTGGCAAGTGTTAGTTGATGCTGCCACATTAAGAAAGTAATCACACATCCAAACAATTATATAATGAATCCTGTATTGTGTTAGTTTGTAATACAATTCTCGATTTCATTATTTAATTTCAGTACTAATAATCTGCTGTTTAACCTATTTTGTATTTTCAAGCTTATAATACTGTACAGTGAAATGTACATGAAAGTTTAACAGGATAATTGATAACTTGATATAGAATAAAAAAGTTTAAGGTGAGGTGATACATTTTAACTGCTAATTATGTTTTTGTCCAAAAATCACTTAATTGTATTATTTCAGTTTAAAATGTTAACTTACAGTACATGTAAAGTACTGTATAAACTTGATAATTTGAGTGACAAAGTGTCACTGTAATGTCATTTTCTTATGGGCTTTTGAGCAGAGAGAGCTGTTGCTTTACTCGGAAGCCAGAGCTACCAACACCATTATGACGAACAGGTGTACAGAAAGAGGACCAACTCAGTTTTTATTATTACATTAAACACAAGTTTATATCAGTGTAGTCAAAACTCAGCACTGGCTGAACATTGTGATGACTTCATTGAGGATTCATAATGTTGGAACAAAGCATGGGATTGTAGCATCTTGGATTTGACAAGTGAACGGAAAGATACAAGTTTAGCCTAAAGGTAATTCTCATTTCAGTGGATTTTTCCTAACGTAAATCAATCGAGGGTTTTAAATCTTACTGTATTTGCCGGCATAAAAGATGCACCTTCACATAAGATGCAGTACATTTCATTCATTTATTGAACCATGCATTTTATTTATTTATTTATTTATTTATTTTATTTAAATTTTTTTTGCGGGGGGACATATGTTGTGCATGAAAATACAATACCCTACTGTATACTACTGATACTAATATTTAACCGCATCAAACATGCCTTAATTATGTTTGGAAGATAATTAATTTTCAAAGTTCCCACCACCGTGCGTGCGGAAACTGGTAGGCGAGGGGTGGAAGCAATGGTCGGTAGCAACCACACTCAGTGTCCCACTGTATTGTCGTGTGCGGATCTAGGCTGCTCGCTTTTATCTTGTAGATTTCTTTTGTGTATTTTATGATGATTTATAGGTAAGGAGTTAAGTTAGATTATTGCGTATTGTATGATTTGATTTAAAAAATCTCTGTCATGTTATTTGATAATATTCCCTCTAGTACATTTAGTATTAAAAAAAACATGTGAACCAATGTGAAAAATGTCTGATAATTTAACTCAATAAATCTATCTAAACTAAAAAAAATCAATACTGTATGTTTTCAGAATTAAAAGTACACTACTGTATGTATTGTACATTAATCTCAAGATTCAACCTTGAGTTTTTGAGTTTGACCACCTTAACATTCCGTGCACTGTTGTCACCTGCCATACGGCCACAAGGAGGGCGTCAACTATTCAGATCCACCCGCACTTTAATGTACTGTAATCTATTGCTTTTATAGGTTGGCTTGACAAATTAACATTAGTCACGCACTTATCATTTTATCATCAATTAGTTTTTAACTTTTAATCATGCAATTTTATTGAGTTATTTGGTAGATATGTATAAATAAAATAAAGATTCTGGTAACACAGCTCACTTGATAATGACAGAAGCCAATCATGACGATAACACCACCACTCCAAACCCCTGACAGATAGACATTTATTGAGTTATATGCCTGAAAGGTATTGTAGTTAGCCACTAAAGAAGCAGGAATAGAATGATAATGGTGGTGATACACAACCCTGGCATATAGTTGTGTTAGAAGCTCATTATATCAATATTTTTTCCTGGGGGGAGGGGTGCCCCTGCAGTGCTTAGGGCAAGTGAACTGCCCCTCTAGTATGGTAAAATGATCATCTACAACTCTCCTGTTTATATAAATAATGCTTGAAGTTCACACAATTGTTAAGCAACATAATAAAGGCATGTGATAAGGTTTATGAATGCTGGGAAAGGAGGTATAGCGAGATGATGCGAGTTTGCCTCTGTTATTAAGCTAATGTACAGTAGGTGTCTTATTTTACGTTGCGATAATTTTGCCTTTTGTGATAATTCTACTTGCTTTTAAGTATTTTGTATTATTTCCTGAGATAGCTGGGCTTGTATAGTGAAAAAGGATAAACAAAGCTAAAAATACAAATGTATCTCAATAATATTTGGTAGTACTGGTGCATTAGATGCAGGGTAATTTTTTTATTTTTTTTATAGAAAATAGTGTGACCTATATATAGTACAGTATTCCCTAAAAGCTCGCCGTTTTAAAGCTTTTCTGCGGAAACTCATGGATTCTTAGGGAAAATAAATAAAATAAATCTGAGGCTGTGTGCCAGGGATCGAGAGGAGTCAACAAAACAGAGCACCATATTTCCCAGGTCATAAGATGCACCCTATAATTAGCAAGGTATATATTGGAAAAAAGAATTTTTGAAGATTTAATAGCCTACTATACTGGCAAAGCTAACTCACTGGCTAATGCTATCATGTTTCTCACTACCACAGCTCGCTATCACTTTATGGACCTATTATCATACATTTGTTGATACAGTCAACCCTCACTTTACGCAGTCCCACATTCCGCGTTTCCACGTTAACGCGGTGCCTTGCCAGAACCTAACGTGCTCACATTACGCGGTGCGTGAACCCCATTACGCGGAGAGTGTCCGGCGCGACGCTATTTTTAGATTCACCCCACCTGCCTGCCTGCCTGCCTGCCTGTGCTCTCGCCTCTCCCTCCTCCTCCCTCCGCTTGGGCAAGCCGCGCGGTAAGGTTGCGCAGTGTGTGTCTTTGTTGCGTTATCACTGACGTCATATGGCGTATCGGACTGTGATTGGCCATGCATCCCTGCCCCCCTCTGCTGCTAGCTGTAATTGGCTTAAAGTATTATGACGTGTCTACCCGGGGTAGGGAGGGAGGGAGGAAAGACGATCCTTGACCTAGTCGCGCCAGTTTCATCCCTCCACGCCAGACCGTGTAAACGTGCATCCATTGTTCTCTAAAATGGCTTCCGCCGGACCACCACCCCCAGAGAGAAACCTTTCCTTACCTGGACCCAGCGGCACTAAGCCAAAGAAGACACGACGTTCCTTAAGCTACGAGGTGAAGTATACCATCATCCAAGAGTTGGAGAAAGGAACAAGGCAGGTTGATTTGGCGCGCCAGCATGGTGTGAATGAATCTACGATTCGAACAATAAAGAAGGATGCAGCCAAGATAAAGGAGCACATGAAGATCACAAAGTCTACAGGTGCAGGTGCTTCTATGATCAAGTATTTTCACAACCAGGTGCTTCTCAAGACAGAAAAATTACTTGTGAGGTACTTGGTGCGTCAGGCGCGACGGAACATGGCGGTCGACACGCGCTCTGTTAAGGAGTACGCACGTGAACTGTACATCGCAGTGGCACGAAAGATGGGAATTACAGAGCCCAAACCCTTTAATGCTTCCTCTGGGTGGTTACAGAGGTTTAAGATCCGGAACAAGATCACCAATATAAACATTGGTGGTGAAGAAGCGAGTGCTGACCGTGCTGCGGCTAGGGAATTTCCTCCGTTTTTACGTGAGATTATGGAGGAAGGACAGTACAGTGACGACCAGGTGTTTAACATGGACGAATCTGGTCTTTTCTGGAAAAAGCTACCTTCCAAGTCCTTCGTTGTAAAGAATGCCAGCAAGATTCGGGGCTGGAAGATGCAGAAGGAACGCATCACTGTCCTGTTTACCACCAATGCCTCCGGTACCAGTAAGCTCAAGTTATCGGTGATCCACACAGCACGCAAGCCGCACGCCTACAAAACCATGGACATGACCAAGCTAAATGTCCACTGGCTGACCACACGTAAGGCGTGGATGTTCTCTACACTGTCCCTCTCCAGGTTTGATGACTGTTTTGTTCCCGATGTAAAGAAATTCTGTGAGCGACAGAATGTGCCATTCAAGATTTTGTTGCCGCTGGACAACGCACCAGGACACTCGCCCCTACTGTTAGATTTTCACCCCAACATAAAAGTGGTCTTCCTTCCTCCCAACACTACGTCTATATTACAGCCCATGGACCAAGAGTTAATCTGTAATGTAAAAGCTGCATTCTCTACGAAAAAATTCAAACTCCTGAACGACTACACCAACACCAGGGAAGAGTTGCGTAACCTGAGTGACACCACCACCGATAGCAAGAGCGAAGAAGATGAGGATCAACAGTTGGCACAGCAAAAAATACTGTTCAAATAATTCTGGAGAGTATTTAACATCAAGAAAGCTGTGGACTTCTTGGTGAAGTCATGGGATCAGCTGTCTATTGCTACAATTCGTCACGCATGGAGACATGTGTTGCATGGAATACCAGGTGAGAGGAGGAGTCAATCTGTGACTGGTGAGGTTCAGACTGTTGCAGTAGCAGTGGACCTTGCCAGAGAAGCTGCGCAGACTGTTACAGTTCCAGGCTTCTCCGAGACCACCAACGACGACATCCTGGAGGTGATAATGGAACCTGATGTGACTACCGAGGAGATGGTAGATGATGATAACGACGTCAGTGAAGAGGCAGGTGGTGCGTCATCCCAAGAAGAACAACACTTATCCCATAGTAATGTTAGGGATGCCATCGAGTGTATCGAGAAAGCCAAGCTCCTCCTTTCCGACGACCCTGACGCAAACAGGTATGAAATCTTCACTACCCAGCTGTTGCAGACTATGGAGCCCTACATCAAGGTGTATCACGACAACATCAACACCAGCCGTCAGCAAAGCATAACAGATTTCTTCGCCCGCAACCCACCACAGCCAGCCCAAGCCAGTGATAGTGACAGTGAAGATGACTTTGAGGGATTTGTCAGGGAAGTCCTGACAGCTGTAAGTGACAGTGATGGTGATGCACCTAGTAATGGTGATTCACCTGAGGGCCAGTAGCCTGCCCTCTGCCTCGGAACCAGCCTCCATCCCCGTACGCTGACCCATCTCTTCTACTAACGTAAATGTTCCACATAACTTTTAGTTTTCCTAACCTAACCTTTATTTTTCCTATGTTAACCTTTATTTTTCCTAACCTAACCTCTTCTATATTACTTGTTTTTTCATACCATCATAAAGTTAAGATAAAATTTTTACTACAACATAGTTGTGTGTCGTCAAAAAGTGGAGTTTGGGGGTCGGCCCGGACTCTATTTCAATTAATCCCATATATTACGTTATTCACTTTACGCGTTCCTCACTTTCCGCGGGACCCTGCGGGTTATATTAACCACGTAAAGTGAGGGTTGACTGTATTATCAATAAAATTAACCTAATTTACTACAAAAAGATATGATTATACATATAGGTACCTACGGTATACACATTACAAATACTTGTCGGTACCAAGCATGTTCACTAGGAACTGTTCAGTACAGGGATTAGTTACATCCTGTGCACCAGATCAGCTGATGTTTCAGAGGTATTGTCTTTGCATTGTCATTATCACAACTCACTATCACTGTGTGGACCTAATGTCCATACAGTCTTATTTCATGTTTATTTATTTGTTATTTTATATTATATTGTCTTATACATACATAATGTTGTTATACATGTGCATATAGCTATTTATACACACTCCTGGGACTGGCATGAAAAACTGGCGGATTTTCTTTCTCACGAGGTCCATTTTACCTAACCCCAGTGAGCTTTATGGGAATACTGTATTATAGTGAAGGAGAATTTCCTGAAACTAGTAATCATGAATAGGGTGATACTTGTATATCCAATTATTTTAACTGTACAGTAAATTAGTACTGTACAGGCATACCCTGATAATCAACGCAAATAGGGACTGTGAAAAGTTGTTGATAAGTGAATTAACAGTTATCAAAGCAATAAATGCCATCAGAATACTGTATAACAAATTCAGGGGGTTAGGGACCATCCACCCCCAAAACCTCCCATCTACCCTTGATAAATCTCTGTACTGCACACTGTCAAGCAAGAAAATTAAACAGACATATATATATGTAGTAAGCATAATAAGCCTTAAATAAGGAATATAAAGCATAAATTGAGACTGTATTGAGGATAGTAGAGAATGTCTAGGGTGGCAAGTTCAAGTCTTTATCATCCTTTGCTGGTCCATCACCACACTTAGTGTGCCTCATTATGCCTTATCACATCATATCAAGCTGTCCATAAGAGGGGCAGCACAAGAGGAGCTATCACTGGGAGGATTATGGTAAGTGTAAACATGTGCAGAGAGGTGGGAATAAGTCGGAGGCAGCACGCAGAGCTCTCTTGCGGCAAGAATTCGCACCACGTCACCATCTGCCAATTCGAGATATCTCTGTCATTCCTTTCCCAATCATGCAAATTGGCGGTTAATGGGATGTTGGTTTTTGGGGTATTCTATTTTATTTCAGAACTAAACATAATGATTAATTAGGTAGTCACTTTTGAATATTGCTTACATACAAGATGATATATAAGATGCTGTAGGCTAATTTCACCCAGTGTCTTGGAAGAGTGACATTGAAAGGTATACTTTTTGACCCTCTTTATCTCTCCATGGAATTACTTAGGAATTTTAGATATAATAATTCAATCAAAAAATGAATGGGTTCAAATCAGTTACTGTAGTGTCATTTGTGTCTTTATATTTCAGAGCATTGACACCAGAGGGAATACAAGGACTGTGACTCAGACAATCCTGGTGTCACTGGAGGATGTGGGAGATAATCCACCATATTGGATGAATTACTTTCCAACCTTCAGATTTTTGGAGGGTGACCCAGGGGTGAGTTTTATTCATAATTATAGACTCCCCTAATCATAGAAAGGTTTTCTTAATTTGTGTTGTAGCCAAGAACGCAGTAATTAGTCATTGGGAAATTATTGGTTTTGTTGGGTATTTAACACTTATTCCAATGATTCATAAGCACCATGACTCATCAGATACAGCTCAAGGTTGAAGAAGCCGCAAGTCCAGAAAACTGTGAGGGCAAACTTTTTCGGAGTGAGAGTTGTGAACTCTTGGAAGAACCTGTAGCCTGGTGGTTACAGTGACGAGTCTAACCTGGCTAGAATGCCACGATTAATCACTATTAAGCACTATTATATCAGTAAACACTAATAATAACAGTAAATCTAGTGAAGTATGGCAGAGAGCGAGGAGAGTTACAACTGCAGATGACACTCTAATTAGTGGTCACTCACTCTCGTTGCCAAGCATACATTCAAAATATGTATGGGAGAAATACATATCTTGTAGTCTAATTTGAAAACAGTGATGGTCACAGTGATAAACAAATTATATAAATCAGGCATTTACCTATTATAACTTAATAAGAAGTATTGTATCATTACTAGAGTGAATGACATCGTACAGTATTTCCATAAACAACAATTGACAATTCTGTTTATGTTTCCCGCCTCAGGCACCTGTATCCTGCTCACTGACATCTTAGTTACACGAGCCTAAGATGATGATCTTTGCTCTGTTTTGAGAAAGTTTCTTAGGGAAGCTTCTTAACCCCCGGTACCCCCAAATTTTGTCCGAATCTTCCGAAATCTAGATTTGCCAGGTCCGAATCTTAGAGGGTTCACTGTATATCAGAACCTGTAATGTACACAGGTGAAAATTTTTTACCCCAAGTATATATGGTGAAGAAATACATGCCCTCGCCTGCAGACCCCCATGGGGATGGATCAATACTGTGATTCTAGGCTGTGTAAAATGTATTTATTGGCTTATCTCACTACTCTAATCATTAGAGTATCTCTTTCTCTTTCTCAATATACTGTACAAAATTCCGGTTTATTGGGCTATAATACAATAAATATGTTAATAATTACAATGAGGTACCAGATAATGAATGCTGCTTGGAATTCCTGCTTACATTTTTTAGGTATGTCATACATTTTCACCCCCTTCAATTGTTTTTCTCTTTGTATATGACCATAGATAATATATTTTTTTGACAGAGAGACATGTTCCGTGTGGAAGCTCGTGACAGAGATGTGATGATCAACAACCTCATCAAGTACAAAATCAGTGAAGGTTAGTAAATGCAAATATTATTTTCACATAACCTTACAGTAAGGAAGCTGAACTGAGGTGTGAAGGTAACAGTTCAAAGTTTTATTTTACTTTTAGTGCACAAGCCACCTTGCTGTTTCATTAATTTGAAAATTTTTCCCTGCATCTTTTCTGCTACAACAATTTTTTTTTTCCTACATGCCATTCACTTTTGTATAATGGACAAGTTGATGGTCGGAATTTTTCATAAGATGGCAGGTCGATGGGTAAAGAAGGCGCTTAAATTCACTATGGTAAGGCCATTTTTAAATAAAGCAGGCCAAAAAGTGTAAAAAATAATGGTTAAAGTTGCTGAAAAGTCACATAACTGCAAAAAGCTCTGTGATTGGTTGTGATGTCACTGACTAGTGCGAGCAACAGAGCGGGAGCCTGGAGGCAGCTAGTTGTGGTGTAAGTGTTGTTACCAACAGAAATATAGGACTTGTAGCCATATACAATGTTGATATACACAGTCATACCTTATTTTTAGGTTCAAATAAATTACTGCTCAAGTATCATCGTGTGTATTTACTCCCTGGGTGCCAAAATGATGCAAAAGACCGATAACTCCAACATGGAAGTTTTCATCACTGTTCTCTATTTCTTGTCTGGAAAATGTAAGTTTCGTCACTAATATCTATATTTAATGATGTGTAAGGACTAGGGACGACCATGGCCAGGGGATGGGCTTGAGATGATCAGATGGCAGATGTAATTTAACGTGCTTCATAGCTAGATGGCGGAGTTCTTGATAATACTGTACTCTACAATCACAAAGACATCTACTTTTGGTAAATTTCTTTCATCTGCCTTGGTGAACCCTGGAAGTAGTTGTCTAACCTTCTCGGCTGATCAGCTCAGTAAATAAATATTATTAGATAATTAATTGTGCTGTACTATGCAACACAGTAATGCTACCTGTATATATATATATATATATATATATATATATATATATATATATATATATATATATATATATATATATATATATATATATATATATATATATATATATATATATATATATATATATATATTGTTCTCACCCTCCTTTGTATATATATAACTTGTTCTGCACTTCTACTTTAGCCTGTACTCACCCCTGAAGATGTGAATTACACGAAAGCGCTTGGGAATTTTGTGTTTTATTTTTCCTTGTTGTTATCAGCATATATATATATATATATATATATATATATATATATATATATATATATATATATATATATATATATATATATATATATATATATATATATATATATATATATATATATATATATATATATATATATACACATATGTGTTAACTCTTCGCCTACCGGTTAACGAAATTTCGGTTAACGAACTGCCTTCCATAAGGATCTTCAATTCGGTTAACGAACAAAAATTCGGTTAACGAATTTCTTACGAACCGACCTCAACATGTTTTTGCTTGCACTGGCCGGGCAACCAGCTTTAGTATCAGTCCGCCAATACATTAATCGGTTCTAGGGCTTAAATTCCTAACTATTTTAGTAAATATCAAGAAGTTTATACTATTCAATAATTTTAAAAGTTTAATATTCAATTTTTTAGTCATTTTAACAATTATTGAACATAATTGAAGGTAAAGTGACTAGTTTAAAGCGCAGCATCCAGCCTCTTAACACAGCAAACAGGCGTTAGTCTCTCTGTTTTCACTGGAGGTAACATCTTGCTTGAGACTCTTTAACTAAACGCTTTTTTCTGTGTTTCCAAGCAAATTATTGGTCATTTTGAAATATATTTTACATATTGACAATATATAATGCAGTACAGTGTTGATTTAAAGAAAATAATCTTGAAATACACCAAGAGAACTAAAATTTTATGGGTGAAATGGTGCCATGGGGTGACTTCTCTTCCACCCCAATGCCTTCTCTTCTTCCTTCTCCTCCACCCCCATTGTAATTCCCATCATCATCATCATCATCCAGGAGCCTTCTACATACACACCTCAAAGTAAGTGAACTTTTCTACCATTTTTGTTGAATTTAGGAAATTTTCGGTGAGCTGGAACCAATTACCCAAAACCCATTGAAACAATGGTTTGGTTAATGAACTTTTAGGTTAACGAACGACCTTCTGAGCAGTTGAGTTAAGTTAACTGAGGGTCACTGTGTGTGTGTGTATATATATATATATATATATATATATATATATATATATATATATATATATATATATATATATATATATATATATATATATATATATATATATATATATATATATATATGTATATAATGTATGTATGTATGTATGTATGTATGTATGTATAAAATTTATGTATGTATGTATGTATGTATGTATGTATATGTATGTATGTTATGTATGTATGTATGTATGTATAATCACGACCTCACCAGCAAGGTCGAACCCTCGACCTACTGGGTGTGACTGAGGCAGCTTACGGCTAGGCCACAAGGACACTAAAGCAGTTCTAGACTCTGTTATATTTCACACAAAGCCTGTTCATCAAGCTGATGGCTGCGTGAACCTCAATGGGAAACTGCGTGCCTCTTATGTGGTGTCAGTAGCATTTTACAGATCAGCTGGTATGAAACCGAGGTACATTATATACTTCATTTTTAGTCCATATAACCCAGCAGGTGAGTGGGTTGATTATATGTTCAAAATCAGCGTGTTGTATGGACTAAAAATGAAGTATGTATATATATATATATATATATATATATATATATATATATATATATATATATATATATATATATATATATATATATATATATATATATATATATATATATATATATATATATATATATATATATATATATATATATATATATATATATATATATATATATATATAATAATATATATATATATATATATATATATATATATATATATATATATATATATATATATATATATATATTTATATATATATACATACATACATACATACATCAGCGCAACATACCTTCAACCCTCACTTTACAGCGGTCCCACATTCGGCGTTTCCGCGTTCTGGCGGTGCCCTGCCAGAACCGAGGATGCCCACATTCATGGTGGTGTACCCTTACATGGGTGAAGTATAATTTTTTATTTAGCTCCAAAATTCATACAAATTATCCGGCCAGAATATAATTTACATTGCTGGAATTCTTAAAATTTGATGATCATTTTGAATATAAACATTATAGATTTTGCATTAGACATACAAATTTTAGATATAATGTTTACTCTGAGTAAATATGTTATCTTTTTGTGCAAAATATATGACATTTATATTCAAAATATTCCTTGTCTTACAAGAATCCAGCAATGTCAATTATATTATCCTAACTAGTCTGATTTTATTTTTTATTACTAAAAAGGTAAACAGTCTGGTATTCCACACATTCATCTGGTAGGGAGGGACTGACTGACCACCTGGCACCAGGGTGTGAAGAATATTTTTTTATTAACTGAAGATATTTGTTTTAGCTCATAAAATTCATACAAATTACCGGCCAGAATATAATTTACATGCTGGAATTCTTACAATTTGATGATCATTTTGAATATAAACCTCATATATTTTGCATTAGACATACAAATTTTAGATATAATGTTTACTCTGAGTAAATATGTTATCTTTTATGCAAATATATGACATTTATATTCAAAATATTCCTAGTTTTACAAGGAATCCAGCAATGTCAATTATATTATCCTAACTTAATCTAAAGGTATTATTTAATACTAAATGTTAAAATCTAGTTTTTCACCCAAACTTTCCCTTGAAGGAGGATTGGTGGGGGTGGGGGTAGGGGGTTAGGACGGACCGACCATCTGGCGGGTTTGGAAGAGCAAGGTGGGGTACTTTGATTGACAGATAGTGTTGTGAAGAATATTTTTTTATTAACTGAAGATATTTGTTTTAGCTCATAAAATTCCTTACAAATTACCCGGCCAGAATATAATTTACATTGCTGGAATTCTTACAATTTGATGATCATTTTGAATATAAACATCATAGATTTTGCATTAGACATACAAATTTTAGATATAATGTTTACTCTGAGTAAATATGTTATCTTTTGTGCAAAATATATGACATTTGTACTCAAAATATTCCTGGTCTTACAAAGGAATCCAGCAATGTCCAATTATATTATCCTAACTTTAGTTTGAGGTATTATTTATTACTTTACCTGGTTTTCCCCAAAATTTCTCAGAGAGGGAAGAGCCAGCGAGTGTAGTGTGAGGAGAGTTGAGTCCATTATTTGAATGGACATTAACTTGGCGATTGTATTTCTCTATTTCTCTTAGATACAGTTGCCCCATAGCGGTCAATAAAACAGAGGGTACCGTGTTAAGTGAAAACGCGTTAAGTGAACAACAGAACATATGGGATTATTCAATAGAAACCAGCCCGACCCCAAACTCCACTTTTGACACATAACTATGTTGTAGTAAAAATAACATCTTAATTTTATGATGGTACGGTACAGGCGAGTCTGTTTGGCCCTGCCCTCCCCTGCTTCATACCCCTACCAGCCTTACTACACCAGGATCGATTCAATAAAACATTCTAGTGATTAGTAGACGATTGATTACGGAGCAGTGTTCTATAGTGCGCCAAGGAACTTTCTCGGCAAAGCATTCTAGTCATCAGTGCAATAAGTGATTATCATACAGTGCTCGATGGTGCACCCCAAGGAAAAGTCAGCAGTGGGCACTTTATCGGTCACCTTTAAAGTGCCAGTGACAAAGGACCACAGCGGTGTTTACATATATCATTGAAACTGTGGCGGCAGCCCCAAGCACCAGGGACAGGACCCACCCGGTCTTCATTTAACAAATATTAACAGATCATCTACCAGTGTCAGTGTCCTCAAGAAGATGCAGCAGCGACAAACACTTCCGTCCGCCCACAACAGATCTCAACAGATGTACAATCGCCTCGGCATGATCTATACATCTAAAGCGTGGGAACGGTTATCCTGATGTAGTGTTGTCATGCGACTCAAGTCACTGAAAAATATTCCTGTAGCGGAGCGTAGACCGCAGGCAAATCATACACATAAGCCCATTAGAGACTGTAACCTCCACTAGGAAACCGGAGAAACCCACCCCTGACAGACCATACCACCCACACTGAGTTCCATGGATATGGTATGATCTCCCGTCTTTACTGCTATCCAAGCGTCACTTCTATAGCTAACAAGTTGACGAGCTGGCAGCTACAGTCAGGTCAGCATGGCGTCGTTGCCATATGTGAGGCTTGGCAAATTGTGCCTGAAGCGTGTCATATTGAGGGATATCAACTCTTTCATCACCTTGCGTTTAAAGGCGGGCGTTGCCCACCTCTTCTGTCAAGATGACCTCGCCCGTCAACCTGGATGTTCAAGGTCCCAGCAGATACTGGAAACGTATGAATGCGTGTCGTGCTCACCGGGCCCACCGCAACACTGCTTCCCGTACATAATCTGTGGCATACCATCGCCTCGATCACCACAGAAGACACTCTTATCAATCATCTTATCACCACCTCAGACCACCTCCAGAGTTAGGTACCCATGTGCCAAAGTTAGTATTATGTGGGGATTTAAATGAAATTGACACCACTGATATCAGGACCAGCTATCACTATCACAAGGTGGCTGGCAACTACGGTCAAAATGCCATGACTATCTTAACTGACTTAAGCGGACCAGTACCAACCACACTCAACCAATACGCCTCCTATCAGACGCTTAGCACACACTTGTCAGTGCTCTGGTCCCCAGCTGCCTCCCCACTCAAGTACAGAGACCCTACATCAGGCCTACAGGCCGATTACTGACTCTGCAGTGCGCACTCTTGAGACACAGTGGACCGTTCTGCCATCCTGGACTGAAGTACTTGGCGTGGATAACGTGGAAACCAAATGGATAAATTATACCACCAGCACACCACCGCAGGCTCACCACCACTTCTTCCCGAAGTCCGTCAGATCTCACCCAGCTGACGCCTGGATCTACCGGATCAAAAGACTTGTATGCGCAACAGAGAGACAGAACGCTCATCTCAAGTAGTACATCGCTACAGGTCAACTTACTTGGCCGAGTCATCCGCCCGAAATCGCTGCAAAGTCCACTGCCCAACCAATTACAGCAC